CAGAGATCCAGGCTGACCCCTCTGATTCAGGCATCTGCAGAAGCCAGTCACTGAGTATTTCCCACTGGCTTAAATAAGACTATTGTAATGAATAGAAATCTGGACATATGTTTTTGAGTGATACTAACATAATATTTGCAACTTAATTTGAATAATTTAAAACATTTATTTGACACATATGTGTATAATATACCTGACAACTCCTAGAAATATTTTTACCTGGTTTAATTAGACATTTGCAGCCTTTAGGCTTTTCTGGATTTTCTTCGTATCACAGATATTCCCAAATAGAGTGAATCAAAGCAACAACACTATCTCAGAATATGCAAAATTTGTTAAAATACGAGCAAGTTTATATTTTTTTTCAGATTCCTGACAGAATTCTTGGCAAGGATTAAATCCTTTCTAAAGGCTGCTGCAAATGTGAGAAAAACTGTTTCCATAATTTTACACTGCACTGCATTATTGCATAATTTAAATGGCTAAGTAACTACAGAGTATAGTATTTTCACTTCATTTTCATAAAAGAGTGATTATACATGCCCAGACGTCAAAGCAACTACAACCAAGTATTGCATCATGTTCCCACTCTATTTCCTGTATCTTAGTTAAAAGTATCTATTGTTTTTCCCAGAAGTGAAACATTTTTTACAAAACTGAAAACATAACGTGGCCTGATGAAAAATTAGACATGAAAATTTGTTTTCCAGACCAATGTGCAAAATGATTGGGTTGCAAGACATAATACAACTTGTCATTGGCAAAACCATTACACATACTGTAAGGTTTCTTACCACATTTTCATATTCCTTTCTTCAAAACAAGATTGCTGGCAAAGTCTTTGCTCTAGGTATATTCAGCAGAACTCACTCCTAGCTCTTCTATCAGGAAAACATGGAATTAGTATTTGCAGAAGTGGGAGGTTACAAGCATTGCTAAACCAGTTTTACACAGATTTCCATCATCACAATTCAATCACATGGTTTTCTGCTACAAAACCTGGCGTGTTTTTTTTTGACCCAAGCAGTTCGCCAGGCAAAATCTGAGAACCATGACATCTTGCAGCAGGCAGAGCCACTGTTGATGAATGTGCTTGTATTTTACATAATTGGTTACTTACACTGAAACCTGTTCCTCTGATCATAGAAACCCTGTTAAGTGGCAACTACCTGTATGCCTTTCAGAAGTTTCCATGAAGCAGACATCAATTCAGTTTCCCAGGGGGGAGGGTTGTGAATCTGGCTTTTAGTCTCTGTTGAACCTCTAAGCTGGATCAGGGATTTTATTAGACATCTAAAGCGTGTATGTTGTACTGAACTCCGAGCACATCACGCATTTGGCAGCGTTTTTAGCTGCTTAGTACAAATGACTCAAGCTGTTCATATCTTGGGGCAGGGTCTCCCTAAGGAACGCTAAGCACTCGGTGTACAAAAGACAGTGACTAGGGAAGGCTGGCATTCAAAATCTTACCAGGCTGATCACTAACACAGGCAGAGTGCCGTTTTACCGCTGAAGGAGATAAGGTGGTCACACACCAACCTGGATGTGCTCATTTCCAGTACATCCAAGGATATCCTGCCACCCATTTTACCCCCATCTTCCTTCCCGCATCACACCCACTCGCTGCCACAACTAACCCTACACTGCCGTGCCTGGATCAACACCGGATCCACCTCCTTTTCCTGGCCGTACCTTTTCACTAACCTAGCTCCCCGTGCTGACCAACCCGCCCAGGCGCGTTACACACACGGCACCCGCAGCTGGGTCCGGCCGGCCTGTCCTGCGGACCCAAGACCCGTCATCCCCTTCCC